CAAACAAAAAAGTTTTTCTTATAGAGCATTTCCCCAAAACAGCCCGAAATTTCACTAATAAGCCCATAAGTGGTCCATGTGAGGGTGTGCGGACTACGTGGTAGGGTAAATATCAAGGCCAAAATATCCCAAAACATTTTTCAATTTCAACTTTTGGGTTTGAAGCAAAACTGCAAAAGTTTTATTTGTGACATGTGTTTCCACAAACATGTCAAATTGGGTTCTGCGGGCCCACTAAACAGGCCATAAGTGGTCCACACACCGTTGCCTTGGCTGAAAACTGTTATAAATCTAAACCCCATATACTCCAATAATATTTTGCAAGTTCAACTTTTGGATTAACTTCAAAACTGAAAAAGTTTTCATTGTGGCATGTGTTGCCGAAACATTATCAAAAAAAACTATGTGACCACTCAACACGCCATAAGTGGTATACACACCGGTGATCTGGCTGAAAACTGTGATAAATCTAAAGCCCATATACTCCAATAATATTTTGCAAGTTCAACTTTTGGATTAACTTCAAAACTTAAAAATTTTTCATTGTGGCATGTGTTGCCGAAACATTATCAAAAAAAACTATGTGACCACTCAACATGCCATAAGTATTCCGTAATACACTGATTTGACTACCCAATGTGATCATTATAAAAGCCAAAAGCTACAAGAAGAAGATCCAATTTCAAACTTCTGGTTAACTTCAAAACTCACAAAGTTTCAATTGTGGTATGTTTTGCCAATTTTCCATTGGTACTACATGCATGACTGCTCTTCAGCCCATAAGTGGTCTGTAGGAGGGTTGTTTGTATGCTTGATGTAATCAAGACAAAAGAAAACAGCATCAAAAATATCATAGAACTCCCAATTTTGGTTTGGACTTGAATCATAGATCCTTTATTGAAGCAACACAACTCACAAGTGCCCTCAAAATAGTAATTGACTTCCCCAAAGTATACATGAGCCGCCTCTAGCCTGCCCAGAAAGTGGCTATAGATTAGACAAGTCATTACTTGAACAATATGACCATGTACTTACCACTCAAATTCTGAAATAATTTATCTCCATATGGCTTCTTTCAAGTGCTACTTGACTGTGAGGTCAAATTTCCTTTCACGGTGAGTTTTGATTGAGTTTTGTCCAAGTTTATTTAGGTCAGAAAGGTTTTTGATCAATTTCAAATTGAGATAGATAACCTTTCTGACATGCATTACTCCACTGAATCTGAACTTTGATCCACACCTTGAAAATTCTCAATCTCTTCCACAACATTCTCGTTGCAAACCTTCACAATGTACCAACCTGATCCTTATAACTCTAGAATGCCAGCTCTCAATCCCACATCACCAGCACACGCATCTCATGGCCAGGTAACCCAAGGCCAACCAAATCAAAATGACCATTATCACGCCCAGTTTCATGGTGTTGGTCAGCAGTTTCAAGATCACGGTCACCCTCATGAACGTGCTCACATCCCTTCATTACAACACCAAATTGGTTCTCAAAATCAAGGTCAAGGTCACGTCGGGCAGCAGAACCTTTACGGGCAGAACATCTATAATCCAAATCAAAACTATCATAGCTCTCAGAACTACAATACCTTTCAGAACTATGATCATTCAACTTATCGACCTAGTCAGCAAACTCAACACTGCCACACTTCTATCTATCCCCCTGGCTCGCATGATCATGGTCAAGATCAACACTCAAACCATTGTCAGCAGAACACCGAGCAGAATCAATACTCACGCGATCCAAACTTCGGTGTGATAATTCCTCCTGCAAACAATCCACGTGTTGCTTCGCTCCGTGCGCTGGACTCGCATACTTCTGTAACACAACAATCATCTAATCACGTTTCATCTACTCCTCCCGCCACCGGGACTACTCGCCCGATTCAGCCGTCTGTAACATCTCAGAAACGCAAAAATGGACAGCGTTCTCAAGGACAGCGTGCTGGTGTGCCTCAATCAACATCCACAACTACACCCTCCAGCACAATCACACCGACTTCAACACAGATACCGGCGCCTGCAACTACAAGGGCCGTTGTTAATACGTTTCTTCCTAACTCACTCAAAGGAAAGAAACATGCTTCACAACAAGAATCAATTGATATTCCGACAGCTGAAGATATGATGAAAAAGCCTTCTGTGTCACTGCGAATGCTTGCTGAAAAGCATGCCAAGAATAAGAACACTGTACCACCGGCCTTGCAAAAATACTACATGAATTTGTACGAAGAGTTTGACAAAGTATTAGCAATCAATTGCATCAATAATCAGGTCTCTGTCAAGGCGGTTCGTAAACTATGGTATGTAGATATCTTACATTTTGACATAATCATACAAACAGACACTGACATACAGCATCACAGGGGTCAAAAGGTAACAAGGAAAGGCCCGAACACCTGGCAACGATTTTGTGCTACCAAAGAGATTAAAGGGGTATACAAAGATAGTAAGTGTGTTCGAAGATTAAGTGTATATAGTAAATTGAAATCAGCACATTACTCTTTCAGCCTCAGGTGTGGCAAGTGGAGAAGGCTCAACTTTAGCTTCGCTCCGATGGGCTGAGAAGTCGCAGGCAGAGAAGGATGCCTTCAAGAACCAACCTGGAAACCTCAAGGTTGCTTCTATGTCCAACTCTGACGATCTAGCCCCCGAAGACGGTACCAGTA